ATCCATAGAAAATTGAATTAACTAGGGAATTCTTTCCAAGACTAGTATTGAATAGTCAGTGAATTCAAATAAATTGTTTTGCAAGAGAAAAGTGCAGAACTGTGGTGCTTTACTAGTTTCTTGTCATGAATATCTCTGTGCTGAAAATACAGAAACACCATTTCCCTATTTTTTTCACATGTATTCACTTAGATGGTCTAGGCAGATTCTAGAGCATTTTTCTGAAAATTCTGCTGAAAAGATGGAATCGCAGTTATTTTTTAACAGTTTGGAAAACTAAAATGTGGTTTGTTTTTTTTTTTTATGAGGAGCTAGATAGATCTCCAGTCCAGATACCCCTCCTACAGCTTAACAGGGAGATGCCAGAAGATGTAGAATCCCATCAAGTAGCAAAGGAGTTTAGCTGTGATCACACAAAACTCCTCAGAAGATATCTTACCTTACTAAAGAGGTACAATGTAGATAAACTGCTTTTGGGACTTGAGCTCTCAGATGACATCGACCTAAGTGTCTCTAAACTATGGCAACATGTGTCTAGCCATACCCTGTGGTCACTAAATTTCTGCTGGTATTTTGTGCGACCCGTAAGGCTCTTCATGCCCTGGCAAGTAGCCAGCATGGCTCAGTAGTTAGACCCACATGCAGCTGTGTGGTTTTTGCTCACTGACATATGTTTGTTTTGATTTGAGTCCATAAGGTTTGCACGCTTGAGGTTCACTTTGAGGTTTCAAGTTCAGTGAAACGTCAAGTTTTGCCTGGCTTTTGGGTTGAAACCTCAAGCGTAATGATAATTCTTTCTCCGTCTGCAGATTACAGAGAGAAAGGTCATTGAAAATAGAACCTCAAAGCCTGATTCTGCTTCTTGCTGAGGATCATCAAGCATTCAGCTGGACCATTACTTGTGATTATATGTTCCTATCAAATTACCAACTCATTTTGCTGATATACATACACAAGTGTGCTACTGGCATTCTACTGTAATTGAAAACATAGCATTTCTCCAAGTTTCTGTTATTTTTCAGTTCCTGCTTCATAGGTGGCACTGTTTAGTGCTACTCAGGTGGCAGCTTTTGAGTACTGTAGCAATGGGGAACAAAGAGACATGGAACCCCTTATGCATCTGAAAGAGATCACTTTATTGTAGAAATCACCCACCCCATCCTTTCATTCCTTTAATCTCAACCAGACAAAACCAAAACTTAACAGAGGAAGGGCACCCTTCTTCTGCACTGGCTGGCTCAGCTGCAGTGCTGCTGTCCACCAGTCATAACTATCTCTCATGCCCCAACCAATTTGCAACCATCCAGCCTGCAGCTGTGCCTTCCCAAAGGGCCTTCTGGTGAACATAAGCCTTAACAACTTAAACAATTATAACCCCATATCCCACACAGTATAATAAAGGAAAACTTAAGTTTATGGTTGGTTCTGTTTTTTCTGCCCAGTCTCTTCAGTGCCTGTCAAATGCACCTAATCAAGATGAAGTTCCACTTCCTTTGACTTCAGGGACTAAGACCCAAAGTGGAACTCTTCTCAAAAGGAAAAGCTGACACTCTAAAGATTTCATTTACCAAAACCAAAGTTTTGTTTTCAGTGATGTTCCATACATCACACTTGCTGGGATCCATATTGTTTTGGAGTACTGTACCAAGCAGAACCTTAGCCATACAAAGAAGTATTTGATTTAACAACGTTTGAAAATTACTCCACAAAATATAGTAACCTTTAAGATCTCTTGAATTAAGATTATTTTGGATTCTCTGTATATTCATGTTCATCTAGAGCCTACTTAGCTGCTGAATCTTGCTCTGAAGCCTGTCTCCTGTGGACAGTTACATCAAATCCAACATAACCCATGTATCCCTAAGGCAGCACAAAGCTGCACTAATATGGACCAGGATTTGTGTTCGAATGTTTGAGAACAGGTCATCAAATCCTGGCACCAAATTGGTCCTGGAAAAAATTTTATTGATGACTTGTCAAGGCAGCATCCAAAACAATCCCTGTTCTTTCCATGTTTCAGCCCAAAAGCTTTCATGTGAACACAAGCAGTAATGATCTCAACCCAAAATTCTTACTTGTAGCCTCAGCTGTTCTGTTTGGACAACTGCCAAGTTCTCCATCTCTGGAGGGGAGAAAACATGCTCTGGAGCTAAACTGAGGAAGTCATATTAGACAGGTAACTTAGAGTCTGCAAGTGTATTACTTTGAGAGCTAATAACATCTAACAGAGTAAAGTAACTATGTTAGAGATTTGAAGAAGGAAGAGAGCTTGTTACCCATGCTGTTAACAAAGCACTTATCGGAGAATTTATCTGAAGTACAAGAATTAGATTTGCAAGCACTATGTGCATAAGGCTGTCTCTCACATAAAGCCTTTCTTCATCTAAACCTTTTTACATTTCTGAGGGAATTATGGCTGGTCTTTCTCTTTGCCATTCTTGACTTTTCCCTTTCCCCCCCTCTTCATTGACACCTAGCATGACTGTGAATCCCTGGATCTTCCTTAAAGGTAAATTTTGTACTTGTATAGGTGGTTTTTTGCAAGATTGTGGATATATATTTATAGATACTCTAGGGCCCATTTTCCAGGTCTGAATAAAAATTTTGTCTTGCTTATTCTGAATAAACCAACATCCTCCAGGTACCATGTTGCTTCAGCCCTAATTCTGACTTCTGAGTGTAGTTTAGGTTTCATATGCCAGGGATCTTTGAGTTTTCTCCTGTTTCTCATGGGTAACACCTGGTAGAAGACTGGAATTTTAATCAGGGTGTTCACTAGCATTTCTTTGGTTAATAGTCGAAATGGAAGCATCTGGAGATTAAATGGTAATCATGTGCTAACAATTTGGAGGTGCTACTAATTTGAGCTGAACTTAGTTAAATTCATACAAAAAGTCTCTTCATTCCTTGGCTCCCCTCCTGTGCTTTCAGTGTCAGATTTAAGAAAAAGTATGCAATTCAGCAGTGCAGTGAAGGCTGCCTATATAAGAAATATAGAATGAACATTTATTTCCTGCACATTTATTTTCCAGTGGGGGAGGTCAGTACTGGAAGAGGTTATGGAATCTCCATCTCTGAGAGTTTTCAGGATGAAGTTGCATCTGACCTGATGTAGTGTTGACGATATCCAGGGGTTTCACTAAGTTACTTCCAGATGACCCTTCGAACATATCTCTAAGTCAGAACAGATAAATAAGCTACTGGTATCCAGTGGGAAGGATCATCAACTCACAGAGTTACAAACTGCTGCAGCTCTGTCTTAGAAATTAATGAGAATAGACTAGAAGCCATTCAAAGCCATGCTTTTATAATTGTTGTAGGTAAGAACAACGGGTCTGGTCACCAGGACATCTCCTCTCATCTTGTAATCTAAAGCCCTGAAGATATGTATTTTGCTGCACCCAGTTCCTGCCTCAGTAATGTTTACGTTTTGGATTGAGAAAGTAATACTTAACCTAGATTCTCCATGCCAGCTGCCATTGCATCTGAAAGTACACTATTATATTGGCTAGCTACAGAGTTTGGGTATACCTCTACTGTTTTCCATCAAAGATTTGCCAGTGCTGAAATTATTAATCCCACAGGTGACTGTGGTAATTTTGTGATTTCTGTGCATGCAGTCCTGTGCCTCTCCTGAACACTACCAGCATTGCTGAGGCTGAATGCAACTGCTGGATTTTACGTGGAATTTAGGGAACTCCTAGGTGCAGCCCATTGCAAAACCTCTTTCTGAGGGGAGCCAATGAGAGCAAGCTACAACTACCTTCTGCAAATTTTTGCAATCTGCTATTGCGTGAACGGTTGGGAAGGTTGAAATCGGCACAAAAGAGCACTTGGGTTTTGCTCTGATTGCACTTTCCTGTGTAAGGGTTAAGTCTCTTCTGGGGGAATTCTGTGTTTCATCTCCATTATGTAACTTCAGAGATTGCAGTGGGATCCTGTGCAAAGCAGCTGTGTGGATTCACGACAGCTCTCTTTCTGTATTTCCCTGAGACCGTGTAAAGAGCCAGGGAGCGCAGCATTGTGAAGTGGTGCCCAGCCTTTGCAAACAAAGGGGACGGAAGACTCTGTGCCACCTGCTCTGCCACTTGAACAAATGTTAGGCATAAAACAAGCTACAAACCGCTAACTGTTTGTTGGATGATAACTTTGTGAGCAGCAATTCCATCGATCATCAAGGTCAGCTTTTCTGCTTTTGTTTCTCGAGCAAACCAGTCCCTCGGTTCCATGCTCCTATAGGCAAGATGGTAAAGTAGCCAAGGATGTTAACTGCTTGGTGCCCAGACAGTAAACGGCATTGCGGAGCTGCACGCTCTCATCTGGGGGCTGCCAGAGGTGTCCAGATGTTTCTGCGTAAAGCAGGGTGGCACAACACCTCTGCAGGAATTGGCAGGCAAGAATGTTTTCTTCTTGGCTTGGACTGAAAGCTTTCGAGTCGGCGGTGTGTGGAAAAGGTGGCCACCGTCCACAGACCAGAGAGAGCCCTGTTGTGTCCATACATGAAAAAGGGGAATAAAACTCTTCTGATCATTTTTTTTCCTGATTATTTTGTGGATAGTGCATTTACTAAAATTACCGGTTAAGGAAACAGTGAATGTTTCTTTCTGTGTTTCTTGCTGTAGTTGCTCACTGAGTGTGGGGCTGTAGTGGGAAAAGGAGTGGTCTTGGCAAACAGATTATTAGTATCAAATAAATTATTCAGAATGCAGGTTTGGATACAGATTGCAGGGAATGATAATGGAGATGGTTTTCTGAGTCTGTTCATGTTAGGGAGACATGGAGTATGCTTTTCAGGAATTCACTTAAGTGCAATCAGTTTTAGAATAACATAGCCTGGAAGTAATATTGCTGCCATCCAGCTAGTGTCTGTGGAACAGCATTCTTCTGCCTCCTGAAGCATTGGCATTGAAGATGGATAGATATGGGGATATTTATATTTTGGGCTGCCTTTTTTTTTTTTTTTTTTTTTTTTGCTTTTTTTTTTTTTTTTTAAAGGGAAATTCATTCTAACCACTAGAGAGGGGCATGTTTCAGTTGAGATATTCCCCCCCCCTCGGAGTGAAATACTGGACCACATCAGCATCCGATTTGGGTGCGTCATGTGGTTTCTCATGTGATGCTGGTCTCACTGCGCTTTGGAGAGTGAGCCTTTGTGACTCCGCACTCTTGGACAGTAGCATCCAGCAACATAGGATACTTTGGGGAGGGAAAGGAAAAGAGGCAGCCTCCCAGAAAAGCCCGAAAGCCCAGAAAAATAAAGTTACGACAATTTGTTATAGTTATTGTTTCTTCTTAACTGTTTTGGCTTTTATTTTTAATTCTGGGTCTTCCCTTTTCTCCGTTCCTGCAGGCATAAAGCTGCACCATTTGGAAGAAACAAGACTGTCTTTCCTCACAGCTACGATGCTACACCGCTTTCGACAGAGCCTGCTTTTCCCTCCATCTACCTGGGCGGCTGCTGCTCTTTCTGCTGCTGCTGGGGCTGCTGCAGTCTTGCTGCCTGCGCTTCGCCCTGGCTTGGCTGACTCGAAACTCTCTCGTCTGCACATTGCTAAGGAAGAAGAGCGATGGAGCCGCGTATTTTTTATTTTTTTTATTGGTTCTGGAAGCCAAGGGTTGCAATATGTGATGATTTTGGAGTTTTCTGTGGCGGGGGGAGGGAGGAGAGAGGAAGGGTGTTAATCTAGGATAGGGTGGGTGAAAGCTTAAAGAAATATTATGTAAAGCAATCCGGTGCTCGACAAGGGCATCAGCAACAAGAATCCAGCCTCTGCTGCTCCAGAGGATTAACATGAGGAAGTCACAGTGCTGCAGTCGGGTTTCACCTCAGTGTTGTGCTGGAGATGGATAAATAAGGTATCGGTTGCATCTGCCTGTTAAGGCAAAGCCAAGGGAGAAGGAGAGAGCGAGCGAATGCAAATGCAAAGGAAGAAGAAATGCTACGTGCCGTTTGTCTGATTCTGTGGATTCTCGCTGCAGAGAGGATGGCTTGATTAACAAAGCAGTGTATGGACGGAGGGACTGTAAATTGTAGCTTGAGCACTCCTGGTGCTGTCAGGGAGTGAACTGATGAGTTTGGTGGCTGCAGGAATATCCCCAGGGAAAGCAGCAGCCTCGCACTCTGTGTGTATATCTGTGTATGTACGTGCTTTTCTGTGTGTGTGAACATGTATAGAAATGAAAGAAAGACATTTCTGACCAATTTACAGAGGACGTTTGTCAGTTTGCTGGGTCAGACTTGATTGCAGCTTGTATTTTCAGCTCTAGCTCTACACCCCTTTCCTGACTGAGGTGGCACTTTGTGAAAACAGATGGTAGGCAGTATTCTTTTAAAAAATGTGAAAGCAGATCCTTTCTGCTTAACACCTTGAAGCACTGAGTCTTCTGCACTGTGCTGAGAGAAACCGTGGGGTTTCGTTTTTCTCCATCTTAAAATCCCTATAAACACAGCTGTATTCAGTATGGTGAAAAATTCTACACTGTAAATAGAAATGTGATCAATCTAATCAAAATAAATGTATCCCAGATGACTTCTAGACCAGCTGGCTACCACAGTCATCAGATGACTAAATCCTCAACTGAGCATTTGTATTCAGTGTTATACTTGCATCTTTTTATTTTTCCCTTTTTTTTTCTTAGATTTTCAAAATCAGCCTCTAATTGAAAAGGATTCTTCATATATTGAGAAAAGGCAATGCTTGCATTTAGCAATTGATTTCTGTGAAATGTAGCTGGGTGTATCTTTTATTGTGGAATCTGCTTGGGGCGGTTTTAGAGCAGGTATCTCTGTGATACTGGTCACAGTACAGGCATATTTCATTTGGCAGGTAGCTCAACTTGGCCATATCTGAACAATGCAGAAGCAGGGAAAACAAGCACTGCACTCAGCTAGCAGGGCTTGGCATGGATTTTAGCAGCTGCCTAATGAGAAGGACGGGGTATTTTCCTTTCCTTTTTTTTCCCTTTTATACAAAGCCATAGACCATAATGTCATACTAAAATGTGTATGAGGGGATTTCCCAACAGTCATGGTGAGCTACCCTGCAAGACACCCGTCTGGTCCTTCCACTGTTTGTTCCCCAGCCTACAAAGGCAGCCCTGTGTTGAATCGTATTTAGCCAGCTGTTGGATAGCATTCTTGTGCTGGGGGCTAAGGAGTCTCATTACTCCCAAACTGTAGTTTTCTGTTTGCTTAGAGAAAAATAACTTTGGCAATACAGCAGGCTCTGCAAAAGAGTTTATGCCACTCCTATACCTTTCTGAATCTGTTGTGTGCTTCTAACTCAGGCAGTTTAAAGCAAGCAAGGAGGGAGGAGGAGAGGCTCTGAACTCACAGCTTCAAAGCTGCAGAGACGAGCAAAATGTCAGCAGCTTGTAATTAGGAGCCCACGGTTACGTCAGTGAACGTATCTCTCCAAGAATTGCTATGTGATGTGTGCCACAAAGCAAAGGAAGACTCTCATAACCTGGTTAACAAGCCTGGCTCAAACAAGAAAGAGCAAAATGGATTAATGAATCTGCTGTGTTCCTAAGTCAGATGTGGATGGATTACATGCACAAGGTTTGCTGAATTCTGCAGCAGTGAAGAATGAATTATGGCATGCATTCGCCAAAAGCGCAAATCCTTCAGGAAAAAATGCAGATGAGCAGTCTTTCCTTGAAAATGTCTTTTCTAGCTCTCTCCTGTGCAGGCAGCTGCATGACATGGAGGCAAGCTCTGAAGGAAGAGACCGGAGAGCTGCATAAAGGTGTTTAAAAGGAATGTTGCAATTAAACACAAAGCAAGCCTTCTGAAATTCTGTTCTGGCTGAATCATTACAGATTGGATACTGAAATACCACCCCAGAGGAGAACGGCTGGGCTCTGGTGTGGTTTATATTAAGGCTTCTCTGGTTAAGAGCGAGGGGGGAGGGACAGGGCTTCCTGCAGCATCTTGCAGCCATGCAGAAGTCCCCAGGGCTGTGGGAAGCAGGAGGGATGGACGTGCTCTTAAAGACACATGCCCAGATCCTGCCAAGGGGCTTCCTGACCTCTGCAATTATTTTTAGGTCTGTGAAGGCAACTCGGTGGTGCTTAAGCAGTGAGATTGCAGGGGGTGTTTAATCTGCTGTGACTGGCCCTTCTCTGTGTCATGGCTGGGAGAGGTTCATAGGGCTTTTATCAATACCCCTCCGCCTCATCCAGCATGCATGTCTGTCACTGTTCCCAAAGACCAGTTACTGGAGGTCTGGTGTGGGTCCCTGCTCCCAGCAGAAGTCACTTGCAGTTCAGCTCTGTTGTAGTTGCTCTTTAATTTACCAGGATAGGTAGATTGTATTATACAAACAGTGGGGGTGGGTGGTTTTTGGTTTGGTTTTGGTTTTTTTTTTTTTTTTTTTGGACTGTGAACACAAATTTGTAGGAGGAGGTGACTCCGTATATTAAACCAATTGCTCTTTGAATTGTGTGTAGTATAATTTAAATATACTTACTTTAATTAATAGAAGGTTACAAAAGCTGGCATTGTCTGGGGCTGTTTAATTTACATCTTAGGTTTAGTCAATGAGCCTAACCTGCCTGATTAGAATAGTGTATTCTGCACAGCCAACAGGGTGGAAGGCATTATTTTGTTTGTGTTAGTTCAAACAGCTGGTCATTAATGCAGGCCCCATCTCCAGAGTGAAGTGCTAGTGGACATGAATGGCTGCCTGATTAATGCTGCCCCTCGACGGGTCCTTCATCCAGCAGCGATGCTCGCAGCAGAATAATGCAGCGGGATTTGATTGCGCTCTAACAGGGTAGTGTGTCATTGTGTCACCAAGCGATCGAGGTTATTATGGGGTAGGGCAGACAGACGGGACAGTGGGGTTACTAGACCGTGGCATTTTTAGAAATGCAGGGCTGACCTACTTAGAGTTATTCTTGCTGGCTGGCAGCTGCCTGGTGCGGGGCTCCCCCGGATAGGCTGCGGCTGTTGCTAGGGGGAATTAGCATGAATTTTTCCACATACAGACTCAGTGATTGAATGATAAAAGCTGACTGGAATTAAAGAGATTCGGTTCAGTATTATGCAGATTTATCTCCCTCATTTTTTTTTTTTTTTTCTCTCTGTCAAATGCATAAAAAGGAGCAGAATACAGTTTGTTTCCATTTATTTTTGACCTTTTTTTTTTTTTTTTCTCCAGGGGAGGGCAGAAGTGTTGCGAATTTTTGGTCATAATTTAATATTTAGGCTGTTGAAATGATATGATAGTGAGCATGCATCTTTAATGTATGGAAGATTAAAATTCTGCCTCTCTGGAAGGGAATGAAATGAATATATTTTGTGTTCTGGTCAGGCTGCCACCTCTTTTGATTTGAAACCATGTCAGATTCTTTCATCTGGAAAGGGGAAACATATACCAGGTTTTATTGCATAACATTACTCTTAGCTATTTTTAGCTATCTGTACTTCAAAAAAATTAGTCCTGTTTATACTAGTGGGTGAAATTAATCCCCAGGCTATGCCTTATGTATGTGGAGACAGATGCCCAGGGTAGCTGCAGTGCTGTGTGTCATGTTCATCTGAAAAGGTGTTTACATAGCTCAGGCTTATCAGCAGTGCATACCTAGCAGAGTGCTGATGCTTGACATGTAATCACATCAATTAGAGAACTCCTCTGGATTTCAGAGTATTTTTCAGGCCCTGGTTTGAAGTTGGATTCACTAGATGGTCTTCTTTTATTTATCTACATCTGCCTAAAACAGTGTTATCTTTTCAGAGAACTCTGTGCTCCCTTAGGAAGCAAATAAAAACAATACTCAGTGAAGAATCCTTTGATGTAATCATGAATATTTCCTTTGTTATTATCACTAATTATAGAAGATCTTTGTTTAAACTGCTATTTCCCTCTGTGTGATCTTTTACCATGCAAAGAAATTCCAATTTAGTGCTTATAATTTAAAGTTAAATATTCATGGCCATGCATCATGACATCACACTCAAAGAAGTGGGAATTTTCAAGATATGAGACAGTGGGGGATAGGAGAGAAGACCCCATACATCTTTGGAATTGCAAAACAAAAACTGTGATTTGGTGCTGAAAATTTAGTGAACTAATTTTTGTCTGATACTGTTTAATTTCAGATATTTGGACGAATGAGATACCTTTTAGAGGGGTGTGAACAGCTCACACATCTGAGGTAGCTTTTAGAAGAGTGTGAGCTGCCTGTGCATCTCTCTAGGAGAGCTAGCTGTCCTGCCTTAGCTCCAGAATTTATTGGGAAGGTATTAAAAAAATGAAACCAGAAATGGAGACCTGAATTTGAATGCATTTTGTGGCTGAGGCAAAGCATTCAGTTCTACAGAGTTGAATTTCCTATGTCTTTTTCCTGGCATTGATTCATTACTGAAACTTGCGCCACTTCCTTCTCTGCTCCTTCCTGACAGTCTCACAGAGTGACAGATTTTTAGAGAAGTGAAAGTGGGGAGGGGCACTCTTTGATGCTCAATAATTGTGTTTGCCTTGTCTGTCCTTGGAGATTACTCCAGAAAGTTGTGGTCCCACTTCCCTCAGCAATATTCTCCTGATCAAAATCTGATGTCCTGCTCCTCTTTCCTGCGGGATGCTGCAGGATGCTAGGCAACAGACAGCCTTTGTCTACAATTGTCTCTTGAGGTTCTTGTCCTTGTTGGTAGTAGCCAATTGTAGTTTTGTCCAGCTCACCTGGGATATTAGCTGACTTGGGCTTCAACAAATCAAAAAAAGCATGCAATACTGTATTAATGCAGTACCCCATTTTCTAGAAAAAAGAATTGGAGTGTTTGGTATATTTGTGCTAAAAAAGAGGGAGTTCAAAGAAAAGCAACACACAAGAAAAATCATATACTCTTGGAAAAGAGTTGTGTCCTTGCCATTTATCTGGATTTCAACACAGTGGTTGTTTATAGCAAATATCAGACCAGACAGTTTTAACAAACCATCAAGTAACATATTAAATATCAAAAATGTAGTGCACCGGATATTGTATTCAATGTGAAGTTACTCTGCTGAAAGTCTCTTCAATGAAATTTCTTCCAAACAATTGAATGTGTGAATGATGTGATCATAATAATTTGGCTAATTACGAGTAGCAGAAAAACGGTGTGAATGAAACAAACTGAAAATCTGAGCTCTGTGTGTGTGTATGTGTAATGCACAGAAAGAGGACACCACAGTAGTTTGAAATACATGTCTGTGTTGAAAATACTGTCAGTTGTACACATTCTTTTGAAAAACCCATGTTAATCACTTTCTGATGATCTCCTCTGAGGTTTCTATTCTTGCTACAACTTACACCTCCTACCTTGAAGTTTCTTACCTACAAAAAATCGTGTTGTATTTTTCAGCATTCTTGTACCATGACCTCTCCTGTGAGCTATGAAAGATCTATTATGCTGAGTTTCATGCTCTAGGGTGGCTAAATGAATGCTGGTTTACTGGGAGCATATGCAGGCAATAATTTTTCTTTTTTCTCTCCCATCAAAATACCCAGAATACTGCCTCCATTTGCAGCTGTGAGGAGGCTGTACTGTTTGGTGTATTCCTGACATCAAAGTCTTGGCCATTCATGGATTTTCTGAGTATTTTGTGATTTTATGGCAACTTTCTGTTTTTCTGAAAATGATCAGAGGATACAGGATATAGAGCAACCCATCTAGATTCCCATGCCACAAGGAGTGAGTTGACTCCCGGCCTTCACCTCCTGCTGGGCCATACAGATCAGTTCTTCTGTAGCAAATGTGTTTCAGTTCCGATTTCAAACCAAAAGTACAAGGAATAGTCTCATATTTCCTAAAAGACTGGCAGTTAGCACATTCCTTTTATTGCAATGCAGTAGGGAATACAAATGTTTAACAAAATAAAATAATCCTTATGAGATTTTATTTTTTTTCTGTGATCCATTAACGTGGAAACAAATTCTGTAACAAATGCTCCTGTAACAACCAGGAGCAGCATTATTGTGGCTCCCACATTCCTGCTCTTCCTGCATCCGTGCATGTGTGTGCCTGTGCACTCAGAATTGCTGCATACATGTAGTGTGTGGGTGTCTCTACAGGACACAAGCATAACTTACACAAACACAGCACTGAAGCATATAGCATGTCATCACAGTTGTCTCAGTGTAGCACCAAAGCCTGAGCCTCTAGATATATGGTGGTGTTTTTCCTATGATGAAAACTGGCTTGACATGAAATGTAGGCAGTTCTGGTGTGCAGCACCAGCCATTGTGTTAATGCTGTCATCCCATTCAACACCAGCAAAGACAGAGAAAAAAAAATCATATTGATGTGTGATAGAAGGGTAACAGAAAGGATAGCAGTGAAAAATGGGGTGTACCTAGATAGCTGTGTTTCATAACCACTCGTGCCTTTTGTAGACATGTAAAATGAAATGTGTGACCGGCTGTTTAAGACAGAGAGAGATATTTTATATTATTACTAATTCTTCCCTCCTGCTCTTAGGCCACACCTACTTCAAAAGTGAATCCAGACTCAGATCTTGACAGAGATCATGACCCTGTTGAAACCAATGGCTGTTTTATTCTGGAATTCAGTTGGGCCAGGCTTTCATCTCTGGTATTTTGCCTTGAACGTGTCTTTTTTCTATACTCTTCCTCCAAAGTGTGGTGTTTCTATTTCTACATTTTTTTCCCCTCTATTCCTCTGAAAATTCTTTGAAAGCTTACTTTTTAGTTGAGCAATTTACTATAAATTTGCTCTTGAGTAGGGGAAAATGTGGAGAAATATCACTTTACTCCTGAGCTAGTAAAGTAGGGTTGCAGTGAGTCTCAATAATTGTGTTTTTTCTGAATACTTCTTCTTTCATCATAAAATGTCTTTAGATTTTAATGAAAGGGAACAGGCAGTGAACAAAACAAATATGCCAAGGAGAACCTGGTCTCTTAACAGGCTGCAGAAACTCGGGTAATGAGATGGCTTGTGTCTTGACCTACAAAGCTCGGGCTCTTAGAAATGTCGAGGGAGGCAGAACACAACAATTTCAAACAAGAAATGCTTTCTAGCTCTCTAGCCACTTGTGCTGTTATCATCATTAAGGTTAACAGTGAATTCATTTATCTTTTTTTTTTTGACACTTTATTGTTGCATAAACAGTACTCACCAATACTCAAAGAAATTATTCATATGGAGGTAGGTATACCACAGTTATGTCAGTTATGTCTGGGTTTGCTATGTTTTTCTTTGTTATGTGCAGACACAGTAATTAGGCTCTTTTGAGGTCAAAATGGTTTTGATATTTCAAAGTTGGAGACAATTGGAATAATGACAGTTAGTAGAGGACATTTGAGATAGATTTCTGTGAAGTATTTTATCTGCAGAAAACATGCAGAATGGAGGAGGTGCTGCATGGTGCTGCAGACTTGATTCAGGTACGATTGAAACAAATGGCTGATGAATCTTGATGTAAATCTCCTGCTCATGACCCCTACAGATGGCCATGTACTATAGATCTCAGCTGCAATTCCTGCATGTATGCGCTAACACACGTATACACTGCTGAACTGTATTTGTTGGTGTGTCATCTCCAGCATCTCTTCATATTACTCCTTTAAAACAATTGTTTGCAACTGCAGAGGAGATCTCAAATTTCAGGGTTTTTTTCTTTACCTTGCAATGGCAGGTAAGATTATGCACCTTTGTGAGTTTTCTGAATATATCCCTTTTATAAAGAGACAGAAGTTCCAGCACACTTCAGTGCCCTATTTGCTATGTCACAGCCCACAGGTCTTCTTTCCATCATGTGTTTTATGTTAAAAGCCAGGGAATCACACACTTGCCTTCAAATTCGACTTTGGTTCCTTTGCATGATGCTCACCAAGATTTTTGTAATTGTTGTGATTTTTGTGATTTTTGTGATTTTGTGATTTTTGTGATTGGAAAGAAATACTTGCAAGCATTCAAAATAGCCTCCTCTGGTGCCTATATTTGTACTACCTGCTCACATTTGATATAAGTTATCCGAATATGAGATATGAAGATTAAGCACTACCCTCTGAAATGTTTTCTTTCCCTTGTTTTATGAGAGTAATCCTATTTCTTTAAGAAACAAGCAAATGGCAGGCCAAGGAGCCTAAATGAACAGATGATGTTTGATTTCACAAAGCAGGTATTCATGTTATGATGCATTCCTAAGATATCCTTGGATATATCTACAGGATGCTAATGCTGTGCAGATCAACTTGGTTGTGTGTTTTCAAACAGCAGATCATCTGAAATCAGGGCTATAAGGCTGAGTGAAATCCTGGCCCTGCTAGAACAGGAGAACTGGGTTAAATGGGGCACTTCAAATGGAGTCTCCAAAGTTTCAAGCACTGCCAGCATTTGGTTCCTCTCTTTGCTCAGCCCAACTGATGCTGTTTTCAGCTACTTGGCAATTGTAAAGAGAGGTAATGCCCTTTATTTAATACTCTACCCCATAAACCTTAGCTTCTTGTTTTCCTCAGATAATCCTGGGTGTCTCATACTAGTATGGACTACAATAGGAGTTTGAAACATGCAAAAAATTTCAGAAGGTGTCCAGGATTTTGGAACAGCACTGCTGTGTAGTTGAAGAATTCTGTATGAATTGGACATTTCTGCTGCAGAGTGTATTAGAAGAAATGCAAGGCAGTCAGAAGTTTCAGCTGTATTCCTGTGCTGCGTAATGATGGAAACCAATATTCCAGTTAAAGCTCTGAAATTTTCTCACTCCATGGGTCTACAACCAGGACAAAACCCCTCTCTTCATCCACTAGATTCATTTCTGCACAAGCCCTTTAGAGTTTATATCTTTAGGTTGTCACACCTATTGCGTGCAAATATTTTTAAACATTTGTTTCATCTTGTTATTGAGCCACA